AGATACCAGACATCAGATACCAGACACCGGATACCAGATACCAGATACCAGACACCAGATACCAAATACCAGATACCTGATACCAGATACCAGATCAAAGATGCCAAAGGATAAAAATGATTAGAGATAGGGATAAAAATATCGCTAGCATTGCATTAGCATACCAGCAACTGCGCTACGTGAGGTTTTAAATAAAGACATCAACGTGCAATATTTTGCATAGCGTTAGCGTGCCAGCAACTGCGCTAGTGCAATAATAGTGGTTGCAAGACCTGGATTAGAAAACAGCTAGAGAAAAAGAGACAATTTGTTATTTTTAGACAATGCGGGAAAAGAGATTCGCTTAAAAAATATGAATGCATACTTTTGCCCCTTAAGAGTTTTACATCTTGTTACCGTAGTCTAATAAATACCTGCTAATAACATTGAAACTGCTGGTACAGCTTTCAAGTTAATAAAGAAAATTTCGTCATTAGATGCAGTTTATTTGGCAAAAACTGCTTGGGACCAAGTGACCAAAGAAACAGTGCAAAATTGCTTCCGCAAAGCAAAATTTAAGCATGAAAATATGCAAAGTGAAGACCAGATAAGTGAGGATGATGCACCTGACCCAGAAGATGACTTACCACTTGATGTACTGTCAAATATCATCAAAAATAAGGATTCATTGAAATTGACTGATATGAAAACCTTTATGATTTTTGAACCTGGATGAAATTGTATAGGCCAACAAATTGAAGATCCAGGTTGAAATACAAGAACTTTCCGAAGATTATGATGTTTGATGAGGTTCTGGAACCAACAGAAGCTATTCAAAATTATGGTAAACCTATTACCCTGACCAGAGCAGCTCAAAAGCTTGTCGAAAAACAGAGAGATACAGAGTCTTGGAGCTTCTTTATAAATTAAAAATAACGATTTCAAGACGCCTATTTAAAAGAAAAAGAGGAGACAAATGACAATATATGAATTTTTGCGTCCTTAAAATGACTTTTCAATAATAATAAATGGGCCTTTATTGCAGCTGGCGGTTTACATCAGCAAAAGCTGTTTTTTAGAACCAACCAGGTTTCAGAACCACCATTTTATTTCAGTGTTTTGTTTTACTACATACAGGGTTTGTAAGGAAAGTAATAGGACTGAGTCGATTTAAAAAAAAATATTTAGCCAATTGTTACAATTCTTCAAAACTTTCAAAATAGGCTCCTTCTGCGTCGATGCAGCGCTGCCAGCGCGATTTCCAAGCATTGAAGGCGTCACGGAAGGCATTCTCCGGAATAGCCTTGAGAGCCGCGGTGCATGCTGCTTGGATCCCCTCTGTCATCTTAAAATGCTTGCCTTTCATCGGCCTTTTCAGGCGAGGAAACAAAAAAAAAGTCCCGGGGGGGGGGGCGGGGGTGCGGGGGGGCGCACATCTGGGCTGTAGGCGGCTGCGGAAGCGTTGGGATGCCGCCCTTGGTCAGGTAGCTGTTCACAAGAAAGGCGGTGTGAGCCGGGGCGTTGTCGTGGTGCAACTTCCAGTCTGTCTTGTCGGACCCGACTGACCTTCGTTTGAGTCTCCTGAGCACTTCCACGTAAAATTTGGCGTTGACGGTTTGTCCAGGAGGAACAAATTCATGGTGGACGATGCGTTTGATGTCAAAAAACGACAATGAGCATCGTTTTCACTTTGGATTTGCTCATTCTTCCCTTTTTTGGGCGAGGAGACGCCGTCGGGTGCCACTCGGAAGATTGCCTCTTTGTCTCGGGATCATACTCAAAGATCCACGACTCGTCACCTGTGATTACGTTATTCAAAAATTGGGGGTCACTTTCACACATGTTCAAATTTTCTTGGCACACTTCACTCGCCGCAATTTCTGGTCGTCAGTGAGCACTTTTGGGACCACCTTCGCGCACACCTTGCGCATGTTCAAATGCTGTGTCACAATGTTATGAACCACAGATTTTGGTAAATTTAACATCTGGGCAATTAAACGAATACTTAGTCGACGGTCTGAGTTCAAAACTTTGCGCACACGAGTCACATTATTGGTGATTGTCGAAGTCGAAGGTCTTCCAGCACGGTCTTCATCAGCGACCTCTTCACGGCACTCCAAAAAGGCCTGGTGCCACCGAAACACACCACTTCTTGCTAAAGCAACACCTGGGTAAGCCTGCTTGATCATATCAAACGTCTCTGTCGCATATTTACCGAGTTTCAAACAGAATTTAATCGCGTACCTCTGCTCTAACGAACGCTGCATTTTCGGCTTGCACCGCTCACAGAAACACCTCGCGCGTCCTGACTCTCCAAGTGCTCGGAGACAACTGACCAGTCGCTCATTCGTTAGCCCTCTACCGAATCAAGTCGGTGCGCGCACGCTCCGAAGTATAGTCATGGCGGAATAAAATGAGTCCTATTACTTTCCCTGTATATGTATGTACTGTGTATATATCTGGAGGTAAACCTTAAGTTTGAAGTTTTTTGTTTATTTTAAAAACATGCATACTCATATACGTTTCACATGTCCCAGTTTCTTTAATATATTTAGTTGTCATTAATATGCGATTTTTGTTGTATTTCTTTTATACGGACACCCCTTTTCAACGGACACTTTCAGTTGGTCCCGTTGGCGTCCGTCCATAGATTTCACCACTATATACTAAAATATATAAGATGTCCCGTTTAAAAAATGCATGTTTGTGTTACCACTTAGTTATTACTCAACCTGTTGAGAGCAGCATATTTTCCAAGTCAGGAGAATATATTTAGGTTTAATCTTTAATTATTATTTATTAATTAACCGAAACAGTGTAATCGCACCTATAGGATAAAAAAGGGTTCATCAACTATGTTTGCCCGAACTAGTCTATCATTGTACGAGCATTGTCTCAAAAATAAGGTTCCTAACGGTGTATCTTTGCCGCGCGTGATGCTAGGCGAAATCTAGCAACACCGTCTTGTTTGTCGGCTCCCGCACCACCGATCACAACAACAAGCGCCTACTGGCGACGCTCAGTAGCGGCCTGGCAGCCATACGCAATGGAGCCCTTGCTGCGAAATTCGTGCGGTCATCCAATTTTTGCATGCTAAATAGAAATTGGTCGCCACTTGGTGAAATATTTGGGGAAACGTGTATAACCATTCAACATGTCCTCAAATGGTGAAGAGAGTTATCTGACGGCCGCACGATGAACAACGGAGCAGGAGGCCGGCGGACTTCCTTGAGGCGGGAGTTCAAAGTGGATTACACGTCTGCAAAATGCGTAAAAGAAAATGGCGACTATGTAGAAAAAATAGCTGAAAGATCAACGTTTCCAATGGTACATTCGTTTTTTCAAATAAAAAAATTCGTTGAGCTCGAAAAAATGTGAGAACCTTATTTTTGAAACAACTCTCGTATTTGTTATATTACCCGTATTTCCCATGAGTTTAATTATTCTTGTCCTATATCGAAATAACCTGAGATATCGAATATACTTACTAAACGACACATCCAATGAATGAATCACTATTATTACACATCCTAGATGATAACAAGGTTACTCAGAGACGGAGCATAGCGATTAACCTCGTACTATTCAAAATGTTACTATACAACAAGCAATTTGCGAGTATATTTTTCACGCGCACTTAAGCAAACAAGTATCTTAGATGTTAAATTATTTTTTGTACAGACATTCTAATGGCAGGGAGATCCGATTTTGAAACCATATCAAATAGATGTTGAGTGAATTGGGATGAAAGTACTGGAAGCAGTAACCTTGCTATACTTTAGGTGTGCAATATTGTAAAAGACCTGTACCCCCGAAAAGAACCAAATTCAATATAAAATAACTACTTACACTGTAGCAAAATTCCCTGCATTCTGCCCTTCATCAATTCTTTAGCCTTTCTTAGCTCATCGTCATATTGAGATTTCTCGCTCAACAGACGCCTTATGTGCGAGTTCGTAGATTGAATCATTGAATAAAAGGTGTTGACATTCCTTTTGTTACAGTCACCTCTATCTAGCCAGGTTATAACAATCTGCAAAGGAAAAGCACTATGTATAGTGGAAGAATATTGGAGTAGTAAGAAATTTCACAGGATATCTTAATTGCTCTGTATTATACACTAAGGACCAAATTTGACTGACGGGCGCGAGTTCAATGTGTACGAGACAGAAGAGCGAGGAGTGTGTAAGGCACATATGTTAGAAAGAGATAGAAGCCGGCTGGATAGCGAAGCTCATCGCCACGTTGCCTAGCAACGCTGACGCAGAAGGTTGTGTAATCTGCCGCGTTGCCAATGTCTTACACCAGTTCCTTGAATTAAGACGCATTCTGAAAATATGCGTAAGTTTATTCTTTACGCCCAAATAATGGTTTTCTTTTGAGCGTACACATTTTTGAATTGTGTCGATTCTGTTTAGAAATGATTCCCGGTCGGTCGTAACAGCGCTCCTTTTCCATGTTAGGAGGAAATGAAAAGTAATTGTAAAAGAAATTAAAACACTAACTTGCATCAAAATTGAAATAAATAAATACAGTACAGTCCCGCTAATCCGAACACGGCTAATCCAAACATCCGGTTGATCGAACTGCTCCGCGGCGAAAATTTTATTATTTCAAGGACGAAAATCGGTGAATATTTCAATATAAAACAGTGTAAACCTTAGTTCAAAACAGTTCTTCATATAATATTTACGCACTGTACATCAAGTTATGGTACAAATTTTAAAATGGAATAAACTACAGAACAGAACACTAATGTTTAGTATGAAAAATTGTCAATGACCGAGCTAATCCGTTACTCCGGTCAATCCGAACAATCACGTAATCCGAACAGGGGTCGGTCCGATATTGTTCGGATTATCGGGACTGTAATTCTAATCAAAATGAAATCAACAATCACTCCTCCAAAGTGGTAGCCCTTCCGTGGGGGTAACCGTAAAAACGAGTCTCCACATATCCCCACAAAAAGAAATCTTTGGGCGCCAAGTCAGGAGATCCCGCTGGCCATTGTATGTTTCCATGAGTAGAGATCAGGCGTCCGGGAAAAAATGCTTCAAAAAATTCCCGAACCTCTCACGCGTTGTGAGCAGGGCAGCCATCTTCTTGAAACCAAATATCATAAAGGTTGATGCCCAGGAAAATAACGCGGAAAATTTAAGGTACCATTAATGGAAAAAGGCACCCAAATATTAACTTTTGAGATACTGCGTCCTTAATGGTAAACTTGAATGTTTGTTTTCTCTTGACCAATTCCTAAGGTTTTGGGGATTATGATGTCCATGAAAAGAAAAGCTGGATTCGTCCGAAAACAATATGTTTTGTAGAAATCGGTCAACGTTGTCAACGATTTCTCTCATGGAATCACAAAACTCTATTCTCCTGGTATGATCAGCGGAAAATATCTCTGCGTTTTTTCGGTACTTAAATGGCTTGTATCCATACTTCTTCAAAATACGCCTGACTGTACTGTCCGGGACACAGACTTCTGATGCGGTACTACTCGAACAATGTTGGGGTTCCTCTCTCTTCGACATAACCACAAAGAGCGTCGTCCCTGGCAACCTTGTCCTCTGAAACATTTTCTTCCTCTTCAAGAGTTGATGCAGCCACGATGACGAAGTTTCGGAAAATGCTGCTAACCGTGGTCGGACTAGGGCAAGGTTGGTCAGTGTACGTAAAGACAAACTATTATACAAAAGGATAAAATCTCCAAAAAAACTATAGAGAAATAAGCCTACATAAATTTGAATAACAGCTGTCTTTCCAGTTCTTCTGTAGTTTGTGACCCATTTTGATTAAGGTTTAAAGATAGATATGATTGTTATATCCAAGCCGACTGGTGATTTTTTCAGATTTTACTTATGGTTTGTTATTGTTACAAAAACAAAGAAATTAATGATGATGGATCCCTCGAGTACTAAGAATTCTGGACGTAAACTCACTCCACTCTCGGAATGTCCGGGTGGAGGGTGGACCCGAGGGAACAACATCGAAGATAAAATTTGTTTCACGAACATCTGCGGGATTGACAGCAACATTGATGCTGTTCATGACTACGTGCAATTCAATCGTCCCGCCATACTTTTCTTGGCGGATACAAAAATCTCAGACCGATTAACCATCTTAACTTCCCAAATTACGAGGTGCACTCAAATCTGAGAAAGAACGGGGGAGTTGTGGCCTTTGTCCGCAGCAGTCTTTTCTGTTTCAGAGATATTTCTCTGGGATCAGACTCGAAGGACATTCTGTGGCTTCGCCTCAACTCTAAAACATCCCCAAATTTATTTGCTGTCTTTACGCTCTCCCTCGGACCATAACTGGGATGACCTACTTGAACACCGCGCAGTCAAGATCGACTTCTTGAACATCAATCACCCCGTTTCAGAGGTAGTTCTCCTCGGTGATTTCAATGCCCATAATGAGCTTTGGCTGGGCTCAAACAAGACCGATGCAGCAGGTCGTGCAGTTGAAGCGTTCGCTCTTACTGTCCCTTACAGCACTGCTATCCTGTCGCCCCTGGGTAATTCAGACCACGGTGTTGTGGAGGTTAGGTTTCGGTCAGAACCCGCTGTGGCAGCAGAAACTCGCACAGGCCGCAAAATTTGGCATTACGGACATGTCGACTGGGAGGGGCTCAGAGACTTCTTCTCTACCTTTCATTGAAGAGAAGCCTGTTTCACTGACACAACGGAAAGGGTTTAACCTGTGTGCATAATATGTGCATTCATTTCGGGCCTGATGAAACCAACAAGTAGAAATACGTATTGCTCGGGTTACCTAGCCTATTTTCTGCTTGAATCCACTTTCCTTCTTTTTGCTGATTTTGCCCATTATTTTCCTATTTTTTGTTATATATATATATATATATATATATATATACCTTTCTCCGCGTGATCATTTTCTATATATATAAATGATATCTTTCTCATGTAGAACACTGCAAAATTCAAATATTTGCTAACGATACATTGACATAAACATTTGGACACTGCTTCAGAACTGTTAAATAGTGATATTAAAAAAATTGTGGTGGTTAAATGTTAATAAACTAAAATTAAACACTAATAAAACAAAATGTGTGTCAAAAGGGAAACATTTAGGTGACAATACAATAATTAGGCTCATGATTAATGATGAAAAAATTGAAGTAGTCGAATCATTCAAATATCTGGGTATACGACTATATGTGGATAGTAACTACTAATGTTTCAAAAACATTAGGAATACATTATTTCAAAAATATCAAAAAAGCACAATTATTTCTATAGAGTTTCCCATAATCTTAGTATGCCTTCCAAAAAAATTGTGTATAACATTAATTTTTATATTGATCAACCATCTTGTTTATAGCAAATGAATACATATTTTCAAAATGGCAAAGTCTACAAATAAAGCTATGAGAATCATTTAAAATAAAAACATATATTATTAGATTAAGTCTATGTTGAAAGAACTTCAGAGGTTGTATGTAAAAAATTCATGTTATTTAGTTCTCATTTTGATATTCAAATTAAAAAAATTATTTATTACCACCACATTTAGAATATTTCACTAAATTATCATTAGTCATTATCATAACTACGAAACTAGAGGCAGTATAGGTTTTCATCTGCAAAATTGTAATAGTAGCATAACTAGTAAATCTGTATTTCAAAAGGGAGTAGTTGAATTTAAAAATGTTTAAGGTGAAATTAAAAGATAACTTTATGAATACTAAAAATGCATAGTGATGTAGTTTTAATAGACAAGAATGTAAAATTAAAGAAAATGGATTACAAAAAATGTGTAAACGACTAATTATGCAAAATTGAGATTGTAGCATTGTTAAATAAATTTTCAACAAACAAACAACCAATATTAAGGCCAAACTGTGGTGACATATTATTTTCTCGCAAAAAAAACAATATGGTACCTTTGAGGTATCGATTTCTGACATTGCGAACCCATTAACGACGTAGATGCTGCATTTGTGGTTCTGGGTGGGTTTGAGTGATCTCTAATCGAGGATGACGTGCGACTTTGAGGAGGATAGACATCTTTTCGGGAGCGGGAATGCCTACAAAAGGCAGTCCTGTAGTTTGTTGGTTTTGCGCGGTACCATTCGAACCTTGTACTGTTACACAAATATGTGACAATGGCAAGTCAGGCAGTGAAAACCATTTGTCAATATCACAGTCAATTAGATTGGGCTGAAATGATGAAATGACGAACGCATACCTGTACAGCTTTCGTGAAAGTTTCATCCTGCTTGATCTTCTCAGCTACGGCCGCTGCCTCGTGATCCGTATAATGAACGACAGGTGGAGGTGACGGCGGTCGCATCCTTTCTTCCTCCATTCGTTCCCTGTGGCGTTGCTCTCTCTGCAACTGCCTCTGCCTGCATTCCCATTCATATTGATCGTCGCGCGCCTGCAATTTCAAAAATAGAGTCAACGGAACTGACTGGACAACTAAGAGAATGGCACTAAAAAAATTTCAAAATTCTGAGTATTTCCGAAAATAGACGAGAAAAACTGAATTTTCCCACTTTACTTGAGTTGAGATTTAAACTTCGTTAGCACTTTTTCTCATGAGTATGGTTACACAATGACGTTTCATCTCTTGTGCTCAATCATCATTTTTCATGGAAAATATTCCGTTGCAGCTGTAGTGTGAAACTGTCAATGTTTGATGTTTGATGACATTATAATATCTCTTGATACGTACTTTGAATGCTGGAAAAACACCAACTTCAAACCGAGAAAAGTTCCCCAGACAAAAGACATTTCATAGTTTTTATTTTTATTGCTGTTTGTCGACAGTTTTTGAAAACTGACTGTGAATATTACCCCCAAAATCAAGTCACCTCATTAAATTACACTGTATATTCATGTATACAGATAGTATTGCGCCCACCTCGTATGAGTAACCATCATCCACCACCGACGTTGACTATAGCACCGTGGTAGCTTAATATGTTTTATTTACCTTGTCCACTGTACACTAGTGGTGAGTAGTATTATGGTTGATGTTATCATATTTTTGGAGCTAAGATTTACACACCTAAATGTGTAACGATTATTATATATCTAGTATGTGCGTGACATTACTCGTATTATCTGAAGCTTCTCAATCATGGAGGTCAGTGAATGGAAAATTTCATATTGAGACTATAAAGTTTAGTATAAAACATTTTTTCTGAACGCTCATAAACAAAAAGTTACAGGTAGGACAACGTATAGCAGCGCACCTTATTTAAAGCGTCTGGCAGTTCTGATCATTACTTCGCAAAAATGTTTCATAAAGTGGACGCGGTTACTGGTAATTCGGCGATTACATCCAGGACGTAATATGGGACATAAAATACAAAAGATTCACCGTATATACAGCGCGAGTTTTTAGTTTAGTTAGGTCGATAACTAACGTTATTGCACATGGGATCTAAAAAAAGTTAAATACAAAAATTGTATGCTCCTTACTTGTAAAATATTTTATCTCTTCAAGGTTATCCATAACTACGTGGTGACACAGGTATACAGTTTTCTTATTGAAACGACCTACATTTTATTACAGATATGATCCTATCAAATAATGCAATTTGATACAGCATAATATACAAGGTATGTCGCAAAGTAAACAGGACAAATAAAAAAATGAACAAACATTTTTTGTTTCGGAAAATCGAATTTATTTATTCAAAATAGTGTCGTTCAACAAGCGCCAGCTTCCTTTTTCGCGATATTCTGGCCGAACACGACGAATACGCGACAGCTGACGCCTCATAACACCAAGATAAAATACAACATTAACCATTTGGCCCGGTTTAGCAAATTCTTTGTGAATAATTCCCTTCGAATCGTAGAAAAAAATCAGCATTGTCTTCACTTTGGACTTTTCCAAACAGCTTTCTGTCGGATTTGGCTCGCTTGGGTGCATCCATCCGGCACGTTGACACTTGGTTTCAGGATCGTATTGAAAACACCACGTTTCGTCCCCAATCACAATGTTGTACAGAATGTTTTTGTCTTTTTTGGCCTCTTTAATGATGTCTCTCGAATGTTGAATTCGAAGCAATTTTTAGTCATCTGTGAGCTTGTGCGGTACAAACTGTGAACACACCTTTCTCATGCCCAAATTCTTGGTCAAAATACAGGGGATTGAACCTTTCGAGATATTTAATTCCATTTCTTTGCATCTCAATGAAGATTTTGGATCATTTTTGATAAATTCACGCACTGTTTCGGTTTCTGGCGAAATCACAAGTTTTGGATGGCCAACATGTTCTTCATCTTCCAGCGACTCACCACCCTCTTTGAACCGTCTAAACCACTCGTGGACCCGAGTACGAGATAAACAATCATCACCATACACTTGCATCAACATCTGATGCGTTTCGGTAAATTTTTTACCAAATTTAACACAGAAGTTAATGTTTTCTCTTTGTTCGATGCTGATTTTTCGACCGATGCTTAAAACGTACTGTCACTTTGAACGTCATAGCTCCACGTGGAGTGGTTCGATTGTCCTGAAATTTTGACAGGAATTATCTGACCGAGTCAGACGACTTGCTTTTTAAAAAGATTTATTCTCGATTATCAAAAATACAATTCTATTGATGTATATAGTATGAGCGCTAACAACAGACTGACTAACTCTGAATACAATAAAATAAAACTGGATGAGGCAAAGCGCTGATCCATGGAAACTCGATCCTCTTCTTTAGTGGTAGGGGTAAATCTTCTGTACTATAACGCCTCCCCTTGTAGATGCAACTTCGAGGGTTAACGAGGAAGTTGCACATTGGAAAGATCAACTTCTTCAATAGGGGTTCTTTGTGGTTTCTTCGGCTTAGTCTTCGGAATGATCTTCTTGTAGACAAAACAGCAAAGTAGCAGCAGCAGTACTCCATACAACAGGATTGTCCAAGAACTGGGAATGTGCGACACCTTATGTGAATGGATGTCAACACGATTTTCTATTAATCTTCTTTTTACTTTGTGAACTTCATCAAATTCTATTTGGTCTAGATGAAGGCTGAAGTCATTCGGCTTGGTAGCAATTGAAGTATTGCTATCTATATTTGGAAAAATAATTGGCTGACTTCCAATCGATATAGGCTCTTGATTGGCGATCAGGTCTTGATTTAGTTCCAGTGTACAACCGACTGGAATTTCGGCTAAGTAGGATCCCAAAACTTTGACTGTTTCTTGGCCTTCTTGACAGCTTAATGTAATGGTGGTTTCATTGGGTATAAGCAAGATCCATTGTCCGAAAACATGCAGTTTCTTCATTACTGGCTCTGTGATTACGGCTTCTACTTCTCGGCAGGTAGTGGGAGTTTTTTGTACCAGGAGTTGAACTTCACAGGGATTGGATTCTTTGATTCTTCTTAAATCTAGTTCCTTGCAAACGTACTGTTTTGCGACCGTTTCCGTGCATGCGTCTCCCGCAAAAGCGAAGTACAACTCATTCTTTACAAGATACTTTCTAGAAGGGATGACTACTTTGAACAGACCCTTATGAAAGGTTGGAATTGAATATAAGTGATAATAATCAAATTGGAATGTATGAACAATTGGAATTTGAAGAATGTATGTTATTTTACTATCAACTGTATAACAGCTGATTTTAATGAGCTTTTCAAAAATCGGGATATTATCCAAAGTAACTTCTAAAGGGAGTTGCTTTGTGGATAGTTTTAATGCTACTGAATTTAGTGCTTGAAGTAAATGTTTTGGTTTGATTACACTGGGGTGCATAATTCCCAATTTTGCAAAAGTAAGTGAGTTTTCTATATCCTGGAGTACTGAAATTATGATATCTCGAATTTTTCACCATCTGAAGCATCCAGGTTTCCTGTGATTGCTTTGAAAATTGAACCTAAGCCGTTTATTAATCCCCTTTTTATTCTAACAGAGAATGATGGAACAGTTTCGTAAGTAGAGGGAAAAATGTCATTTAGCTTTCCGTCTACTTTTCTTTCTAAGAAATACAAAACATTGAGGTAATTTGCTGAGTGTTTATAGTGCTCAATATATTTCCTGGATAATTTCGCAATATTTTCAGTTTTTTTCTTAAGGTCATTAACTTCAGTGATTATTAAATTGACGTCGTAAAAATACAGTATTGAGTGACAATTTTTTGTAATTTTGGCGGTCCCTAATTTCATGGGTATCAACCCTAGGTTATTTTCTAAATTCTTCAACGTTATCGTACCATGGATTCCTATGATTCCTGGGAACCTGTAAAATAATATATTCGAAAGAAAATCTTATTTTTAGCGTGCAATTAAGAGTAAAGTAAACGTAGATTACATACATAGTTTCTTATCTAATTGCTCGAGGCTTAGTCAAACGAATAAAGTTTGCGTAGCGGACGTTTCAAATTACTTATATGCACTTTTCCGTGCTGGTCCGTCGCGACGGTCTTTTTCTCCGTATTAACACTTTGTAGTCTGCACGGCTTTGAGAATTTGTTGGCGTGCTTTTTTCTAACATGCTTTTTGACGTATACTGTTTCTCGGTTATCAAGTATAGTCGGACTATCGCAATCTCTGTTAACGCGTTCTAGCGTTTTCTCTTTGTTTTGAATGAGATCAGATTTATTTTTGAATACAATAGTTTTGTACGCTCTTTGTGGCTGTTGGTATAGTCATTGAGGAGTAATTGGTCGATTTTGATATCGAATGGTTCATTCGACGTAATATGTCCATTGATAGGCTTTAATTTTGTTACAGAATGTAAGGTGTGGTTGTAGGCTAAAACGGCATACAACATTTTCATTTTTATAGGGGTTTTCTGAAAGCCTTCTGTGTTCAACAATCTTAAATGTTGTTGATTTGGCGAAATAAAATGAAGCTTAATTTTGTGAAGTGACAAAAGTTCAGTTACAACGGTATTTTTGAATTCAGTGCCATTATCTGCGATAATTCGGGTAGGAATTCCATGATGAGAAAAGAATAATATCAGATTATCAGCAATTTCAGTTCCTGAAAGCGAAGTAATCTGATATGCTTGAGCATATTTAGAAAAACTGTCTATAATTGTGAGAAATTTTGAACCTTCAAAAGTCAAAGTATCGATATGTACGATTTCAAAAGGTTTTGATGCAGTGGGGGTGAGATTCATAGCAATTTTTATCGGATGACGCTCATATTTACATTGTTGACAAATTTCACATTCATTTATAAATGTTTGGATTGATTTTTTCAATTTAGGCCAAAAATATTTTTCTTTTTATTCTCTGATGCATTTCCTCAATTCCACGATGATTCGACTTGCTTTCGTGGTAATTCCGGATAATGTCCTTGATATCAGTTTTATCTGTAACGTCGACTAATTTGGTTCTACACATTTTGAATTTCAAAGCATCGGACTTAAACATCCTTTGTAGAACAACAGAAAATTTTTCATATATATCTGGATTTTCAA